CAGGCACTTTTTTTGTCCAGGTGGGTTTATTTAAGATCTTCTAGAACTCATAGACTTGTAGACAAGCTAGAAATAGAATGATTAGATACAGCTAAACATTAGGGGGCTTTACTCTCACCTCCTCCAGAGCATCCATCCTGGATGCCCCTATACGTCTGGGAGCTTTGAGGAGGGACAACAGCCATCTTTCCGCATGGGAAGAACTGCCCCATGGAAGGGGGACCAGTATGGGTTCTCCCACAAAACACAACCTCAGTTAGTAAGCAGAAGTTACAGGTTTCGCTTCATCTTAACCAATAGTGTTCTCATGTAACTCTCCAATGATCCAGGGGCTATCCTCACAAGGGGGTAGTTTCCAAGTGTTGACATTTTTCCTGTGAAGGCTAGATCAGGGTTTCCCAATAAAAGCACCATTCACATCTTCATCTGGATCATTCACTGTGGTGGGGGCTCTCTGTGAATTGTGAGGCACCAGGCAGCATCCCTGACTTTTAAGTCACTAGATGCCACCAGCACCTCTCCTGATGTAACAACCTAAAACTCCCTCCTCCCCCAGCATTGCCAGATATCCCCAGGGATATCCTCAGGGGCGACACCCCCACCCCCATTTGAGAACTGATAGGGGAAAATCAAGCAGTTGCTTCATTCAAAGCCTTAGTACAGGCATTATTATTTGTTTCGTGAAATGAAACGTAGTTTCACTTTTACCATATGTGCTTTCTGTCTGTACCTCTATTTAGCTAACAAAAGTGTCCTATACATAACTGTGTTTCCAGCTTTTGTAGGAATGGTGGGAGGAAGGACAGGTAAAGATGTACTTACATTATATAAATTTCAGGGCTATTATTTTTTACCTTTAAACTTTTAGTTGGGTTTTTTTTAAAATAATGTATGCAGTTTTGGCAGCTAATTCTGACTCAGGGCTGCTTTCGGGAACATGTGACCTGTGCAGTCACGGAGGACTCTGTGTTTAGAAGGACCTTAGTACTTTTAAATGCCTCATCTTATCGGAACCTTATAATGTCCCTTCAAGGTAGGCTTTATTCATTTCCATTTCGTACCTGAGGAAATAAACTCAGAGGCATTAAGTCACTTGACACATGTCACTCAGCTCAGTAGTAGACCTGCCTGCCTGGAAAGCCTATGATACTTGAAGAAAATTTGAACACCCAGAGGGAAATTTGATTAATTATCCCATAAGGCCCTTCCAAAGCCTGCTCTGCCCTCAGAGTAAAAGTCCCAACTGATTTCACATATTGAAATAACTAAGAGCAGGGGGAGAGGGTGGGAACTAGAGAAAGGAATGTGCTGTATAAAGGGGGAAATGCCAAAAATATGATGTAAGAGTAGAATTAGAGTTTATTAAAATTTTTGCAAAATTACAAAATGTCCATGTTAAATGGACCAGATGCTAGGACTTATGTACATGCTGATTTCTATGGATTGGATTCTTTTCCTACAGAAACAATGGTGGGTGTGTGTCTGCGTGTCCTGCTCACTTCATTGACAGGTGACAGCCTTGACTTAACTCCAATGCTCTCTTGAAGGCTGTTGCAACAAAAGAAATGAAAGATTCTTAAAATCTGATTTTACAGCACAGTTTTTTCGGGGAATGTACAGCACACTGCCAGCATTATTCTCTTGCACATTCTCATTTTTATGCTAAGTATTCTATTAATTTTGTTTTTAGGTGACAGATCGAAATTATTTCATTTTAAGAACTTGGGCTTTAAGAACTTGGGTTCTATTTTAGTGGGTAGATAGAGGCGATTGCCTTTAACACTTCTAGTGAAATTGTTTTCAAACCCTCATCTCCATCATTCACTGGAATCATGGGAGCAATTGGACCGAGCATCTGTGGAGCTCTCAGATTTTATCAGGTGTGTTCCTGACTTTTCCAGCTCCGGTAACCTCCTTCCTGCGCACAGTTGGGCATTCACTGGCATTTGCACAGTAGCATGCTTCACCAGTGTTTCTTCCTCTGTCTTTTGACCCAAGTTTGATTAGGCCCATGAAATTGAAAGATATAGAATAAGTTTTCAATTTATCGAAGTTTTTATTCCTGAGATTCTTTATTCTCCCCTCTTTATTTGTGATGCTAGATTTTAACCTCCCAGACCCTGGGCTTGTTCCCCCACACTGCAGGCCGCCGGCAGGGCCAGTCGGGCGCAGCGGGTCCCTCGGATTCTGTGCTGTGTTTCCTCGCTTGGAGTGTTCTTTGAAAAAAGGTTCCTGTCTTTGTCCAAGGATTCTAATTGATTAACATTTGTTACAAGTTAAATTATACCTTGTCAACTTTAAAACATACCGAAGTTCGCTTTCTATAAGATCAATGTAAGACATCTTTCTTTCCGACAGAATTAAAAATCTCACGTTATTTTTTCACTTGCTCTTATGGGGCTCTTTATTTTTGTTTGAACAATGGCCTTCCCGCTCCTCTCAGGTTGAACTGCACAATTCACCCACCGGCTGGGCTTGCCGTGAATGCTCCTTATGCCCTCCCCTGTCTGAGTTCGCCCTCCCGCAGTACATTCCCGAGCAACAGGCCCTGCCTTTGATTCCCTTGAGCTGCTCTGACCAGGGTCCTCAGCACGGATTTCATGCCACCGACTGTTTCCCTGGGGGACCAGTATTGCCCTATTCTTCCCGCTGCCGGTGTGGTTCCTGTTTGTAGGTGAAGGAGATACAGGCACTTCCTGAAGCCCCCAGATAAAATGCGTGTCTTTACCTCGAGAGGGGAGACCTGCACCAGGACTCGTTCAGTGATGGCTGGTGAACACATTTGCAGAGACTCTCTGTCCTAAGATCTACGCAGCCCTCCGTGTCCTCTTAGGGTAGCCTCGCAACAGCCCTCAAAAGTGGCTTGTCGTTTTTATGTCTGAGGAAATCAAACTCGGGGAGCCTTCCTGGCCCAAATGTACCCGGCATGCAAGAACTGGGACTTGAAACAGAGTCTTCTCACTCTAAGATTAGCATTCATTCCATCTCCAGCTCTATGAGGAAGCTTCTGTAGAATCAGAACCACCCCCAGACTGGGCAGGTTTTCTGGCCCTGGTGCTCCCTGAAACCACAGCACACTGATGTGGAAGGGGGGCTCTCGGCCCTAAAGCACCCACCTGTAATGACCACCCTCTGATCCTTGGGCTGAGGAGTCACACCTCTAAGATCAAACTGGGGTCTCCCATAGGTTACTGTACTGCCTCGGGGGCATGGGGGCCAGGGGCACGGGCGAGTGGTGCAGCGTGAGCCCTGGGGAAACCGGCCTTCGGCCTGGCCGTTTCACGCAGTGGCCCCGGCCCCTAGCCTGTTCCACTGCGAGGCGTGGAGGGCTGCAAGCCCTCCTCTGCTTCAGACTTCCCAGGGTCTCATGTGGCACCTGGCACACAGCAACGATTGGCACAAAATACAATATTCAGTCTTAAAGTTCTGGAGTGGCATATAAAATGTATGTAAGCCAGGAAAGATCCTAGAAAGTCTTGTCCTAAATTTTTGTATTTGAACCCAGTGAAGCCTCCTATACATTCACAAAGTTCAGGGGTCTTGCCCCTTAACTGAGGAAGGTCTATGTCAAATCACATCTGACTAAATCTAGGTGTTATCAGTTATGCACAGCCAAGTACGAAGAATATCCTCAGGTTTATACAAGGCCTCTTAAAAGCCTTAAAAATAAGAATGAACAATGTGAACGTTGTAGGTTTAGTGGGAACCATAACACTGGGTCAGTGTGTGTCAGTGAGCAAGTTTTTTTTTTAAGATTTTATTTATTTATTTTTAGAGAGGGAAGGGAGGGAGATAGAGAGAGAGAGAGAGACATCAATGTGCGGTTGCTGGGGGTCATGGCCTGCACCCCAGGCATGTACCCTGGCTGGGAATCGAACCTGTGACACTTTGGTTCACAGCCCGAGCTCAATCCACTGAGCTGTGCCAGCCAGGGCTAGTGAGCAAGTTTTCATGTCCGTGTATGACCAGCACTTGTTTGGTAGCCATACCAAACCCAAATTCTGGGAGGTGTCACAATGTCCCTATTGAAATCATCTCCCAAGTATTAGCTTTTTAGAAAGTGAAGATGAACAACCCACACTGCCTGTAACACCAGCGCTCTGAGCTGCCGAGGCCAGGCCGTGGCCCTCAGCCCGCGTGTGCGTCCTCCCTCACGCCGACTCCCTCCCAGCACTGTCAAATGACTACCCCCCGTTCTGTCCTAGGAAATGTGCAGAAAGGATTTGCATAGAGGTCTTTGGAGATTTCCTGTGTCCTCATGTGTGTAATAGGTTGGATCAAGTAACAATAAAGGGAGAAGAAAGAATGGAGATTTGGCTTGATGTATATCTTTCCTCCTCCTGGCCATTGAAAGGGGAAAAGAATAAAAAAGGAAAATTATACCATACAGATGATGTCAGTGTTAAATTAAATTAATATCGTGCATTTGACGGTGGCAGCCATAATCTTTTGATTATTGAAGAGATTGTTGGTAATGAAGGACATTAGTTGGAAATATTTTTAGTGTGTACTGAATACGCGTACAAACTGTGAGATATGCACCTAATAAAATGATAGATTTAGAAATTGCCTGGCACCTCAATTCATGCTTTTCAAACAGCTATTTATAGAAAGAAAAGTGATATTTAAGCTACCATAGTAGAATATTATAATCTGCTTTCTATTACCTAGGTAATAGTCCCATATTTTAAAATAATGTTGGAAGCCATTCAATTATTTATTCACACCTAAGTTGTATAAATTGGAAGATTTTGGATTGTGCAGGAAAAGAATGATTTCCACAAAAGTAAGACCTCCCTGTCATGGCTCGAAGAGATTGCTGTGAAACAAGTGATACTACAGATAAAAATAAACCAAAGCAACATGAATTTTTAATAAACAAAAAATATTTGATGGAGACATTAAACACAACTATTAATTTTCATCTTTTCTGTTAGGAAGTGCAGCGTCAGTGAGTCTGGCCGGGCTGTCTGTGTAATAGGTGTTTCTCCTCCCGCCAGGTCCTCGGCACTTACAGCAAAGTCTCCACAGAGCTGGAGGATGACCTCAACCTGGCGAGAGCCTACGAAGCCATAGCCAAGGTCCTGCAGAGGCAAGTTAGCACATCCTTGTCTTCCTGTCACTGCACATCCACTCAGCTGTGAACAACTGAAATTGTTTGAGGTCTGTCGCTTTCCATTACTGCCTGCTTAAATTTCAAGCAGCGCCCTTCCTAAGTGACCCTTTCACCGTAAGTTATTTTAAACCAATGCCGCATTGAAAAATGTGCGCCTAAATTCTTCTTTATCTTGCTGCTCCTCTGTATTATTTTATTTCTGATTTTCTGTAAGCGTAGCGGTGACCTCGAACGAGAGGGAAAAACCAGGTCACCTCTCACAGGGTGACGCAGCGGAGAGAGAGCACAGGCGCACGCAGCACGCTCCAGTACCGGTGGCTCGCCGTGACCTTGCCAGACCCCGCCTTTGAGGGAACTTCCCCCTCAGGCTCCAGCTGTGCTTCTTCCGTGAAGACATCTCTCCTCCAGGCATGTCTGGAGGAGCGAGTGGGCGCAAACACAGTAGCTCCAAAATTTCACTTAAAACAGAAAATTTGACAAGAGTATACATGCAAAACTGATACAGATTTTCTCTGTGGAAAGTGTGTGGTCGGCCCTTCATTCATTGTATTGCGTTCGTTGTATATTCCATTTAGTCATTACATTCTATAGCAGCATTATTCGCTTTCTAATTTAAGCCAAGATAGTTTAAGAATAAGAAAAGTTGTCAAAGTTAAGGCTCTGGTTTTTGGTATGTTATCTTATTTATAGTATATAATTTTTTAAAAATGGTAGTAGTAATAATAATAATAGTAGATATAGACTGTGTCAAATTCTAGTTTCTTCCTATTTGCACTTCATATGTAAATATCTTGAAAAGGTAAAATTGTTATTTGAAAGGCATTTAAAACATTGCATGCCTAGCAAAGTAAAAGATCATTGTTATATAATTACCATTGCCAATATATGAGGGGGGACCTGTGGTCAGGCGTGCTCGTAAATCACCCATCATGAAATGGGCAAGTGCACTGAAAGAGTCGTAGAAAAAATCCACTGAAGCTGAATGCAGCCTCTCACAACATTGCCAGCTGGTGCACTGATGCAGATGGGCTCCTGGAACACTCACCTAAAATACTCCCCTAGCAGGGGAGGCCTGTACTACAAGGGGCCTACCCTGCAGAAGGTAATTCTGGCTTGGGGGGTCCTCTTTTATGACAAGCATTAAATATTAAATAAGTAATTAATGAAGTATTAACATCCAATGCCAGTGAAACGAAAGGTGCCCTACGAAACACCAAACACAATGCACAGCAGTCGCCCCTGGATAAACGGTGAGGGGCATGGACATAGGTATAAGGAGAGAATGATGTTCGTGCAAGGGAGGCAGGAACACGTGAGTGTTGTGGTCCCCCCAAATAAACACTGGTCCCTAACCCATGGAGGGTTAACCCAGTTGTTCCTTAAACTTCAACTTTACAAATGACAATGGGAAAGAAGCAAATGTTCAAACACAAAGGAGAAATTTGTAAGTATTCACTTAATGTCTGTTTGGAACTCACAAACTTTGTGCCCTTTGACCTGCTTGTTTTGATTTTTACATTGCTTGACTGCTGTTGCCACTGCCCAGAATCAGTGAAAAATGGCCGGACTGCTGGTCTCGCTCTGCAGGCAGGGGCAGACCTGACCTGAGCCTGCACGGTCACATAAATGCGTCCCTTAGCGTGTGCGCAGTGACTGTTACACAGTGGCATGTGTCCCAACATGACTGAAGAGATACAGCTTCAGGGAAAGACTTTTTCCTTTGTAAAACATATCGAGCACTTAACTATGTCACAGGACCAGAAAAGTGTCGGAATGACCCTTCGGTTACAAAAATATAGTTTTTGAAACTTTTGGAGACATACAGTTATCTTAAACAAATTCTCACCTGTTACCTTAGTGGCTCATCTGGAATGTCTTTGGGTCTCCACTTCAGGACTTGAATTCCTGGTCTCTACAGTAAACGTTAAGGTGGGGTTGAACAATTACTGGTAAATATTGGCAATCATAACAAGAGAAAATCGAATGTTTTGATTTGGCTGCTTAAGTGTTACTTGGGGCTCAGGTTTGGAAAAGGACTCGGCTATCTTTGACATGTCATGAAGTAGGGTGTGTGCAGAGTAGTCACAGCGACACTTCTATTCCAACATTTCCAACAGTCCAGCAGCACGCCTTGGGGCTGATTTTTAACAGGCAAGGACGTTTTTCCCTATTTCACTTTTGTACCAAATGAAACGAAGTTCACTTATAAGAATTCCCATCTACTAAATTACAAATGCAGCCATCAATGGCATATACGGTGGACATGGAGTTTTAACTTTATAATGTTGGGCAATGCACGAGCATGCAGTAGCTGCTGCTTCTGAGGCATCAGAGGCCACAGCAAGCTTCCCAGGCCTTGCTGGGGGTGACAGACCTCGGCAGGTGCTCTCACCATTTGTGCAAAATAACTCAAGGGGTGGACAAAGGTTTCAAAAACAAAACTCCTTCACAGGATGACAACAGCACCCAAGATGTCTACGAAGCCTTATTAAATCAAGTCCACTACTTACTAGAAATGCTTTGATGTAAATTTTGTGGTCATTTAAAAAAAATCTTGCTTTGAAGACTTGGTGTTTTCTGACACATGCACGCACTCACACACACATGCACACATATGTCCACCCCTGTCATAGTCCTAAACTGTCCTCGGATTAGGAGAAACGGAGCACAGCCAAAACAGAGGAAATTATGGTGGTGGCAGCTGAGACATAAATCAAGCTGCGTATGAAGCTCAGCATCACCCCTAAATCTCTCTTCCTCAACCTGTGCAGTGGCACAAGTTTCACTAATGGGAAGCCCTATCTCTGTAAACATATTTCATCTCTTTAAAGGAGATGAAAGAGGACAGCCGAGTCTCGGATAAGTGTGTGTGTATGAGGCCATCAGCTGAACATGCGTGAAAGGCGAACAGGCTCTAAGGCTGGAAGCTTCTAAAATGGTTATAAGAATTTATACTGTGGCTTCGATTGAAAAACACACCACATCCCCTCAAGACCAAGGACCCAGTAGCACAGAGTCGCTCGTTTGGTAGGACTAGAGCGGTCTCTGGCATTAGAGTTATTGATGAAGGTTTTAATGGTGACCAGGGTTTGTTATTTCTGCTGTTGGTCTGAATAATATTAAGCAGCGCAACGGAAAATAAGCATTTACAATGTCTTTTTTTTTCTCCTTGGAATACTAGTGTAAAAAGGGTCGATATTCTAAAGTAATAACAGTAGCCCATGACACAGCTGTAAAAGCCAGAACTATAGTCCCTACAACAAAGAGAAAGTGAGTTGAGAAATACCGAGTAAATATTTTTATTATGTGTAAAGAGATAATTTGAGTAAGCATGGAGAGGGGAGGAAATAACCTCTGTTTTTCTTTTTTTTTTTAAGATTTTATTTATTTATTTTTAGAGAGGGAAGGGAGGAAGATAGAGAGAGAGAGAAACATCAATGTGCGTTTGCTGGGGGCTGTGGCCTGCAACCCAGGAATGTACCCTGGCTGGGAATCGAACTAACCTCTGTTTTTCTTACAGCATTTTTGTTGTACCTTTTCCACTAAAATAACTCATTTACCAATATGGCACACTCCTCAACATAAATAAGATGGCTTTTATAGGGGGCAGAATTAAATGACAAAGGCAAGAGTTGTTTGAGACACCTTGTTTTCAATTAGCCTGGGTTTATTCCACACCAATTATAAATTTTCTTGTAAACTTGGGTTCTTTCTTGGAAAACTTTCCACAGTGGACATTTTAAATCAATCAGTACAAAGTTTCAACTGTGAAAATTACCTTTCTGTTATAGCTGAAAATTAATTTCTTCTCGCTTGAGAGAAATGACATGCCCTAGTAATTTTCATACATTCTTTAAAGTGGAACATCCAGGCTTCGATGCAAAAATCTCCTAAAAATGACCCCCCAAAATACATCAAAACATTTCTATTAATTCACGAAATTAAGAATAGCTTTTTACATCTTCTCCTGTCACTGATTCCATTTGCCTTATTATTTTCAGCCGTGGCCCACAAACGGCGGCACAATCAACAAACCCCTTAGTGGCTGCTTCATCTCTGCCCTATTTGATTTCTTCTCTCTGAGTAAATGATTAAGTTTTCATGCATTGGTTCAGCCAAAATCTATGTTCACTCAACCACATCCTTTATTGATTACTTCTACTGCAAACAGTAGGCCAAGTGTGATATACATAATTGGACAGTTGTCAGGGGATGTGGGTGTTAACAGTCCCGTTTTCCCAGTTGGAAACTGGAATCACCTTGATACACAAATATTCTGCGCTGTTTCATTCTCATTCTTTGGACCGAGGAGTCCTGTTCCTCAGAATATATGTTTTTAACTCTCTGAGGTCTGGCTGAATGAATTTAATGATTATACCATATAATATGCTGCTCAAGCTGCACCTGTGCACTGCATATAGAAAACTGGAATTAATGTTTGTCTAACACTTTAACCTTGTCCTTTAACCCATTCAAATAATCTGGAGCTTCTCTGTGGGAAAAAGGTTTGATCCTTTCCCTTCCAAAGAAAGACTAGCTTCTAAATCTGAGGATAACTTTTAAATTTCAAAGTCCTTTAAGCAACATGTAATGTTTAGATTTCTGATGCTATATTAACAGCTTTGCTGGCTACAGAACTGTGTGTTTGTTGAGTGGAGGATATAATTTATAATAGAAAGACCTTTTCTGTAGCAGTATTTGTTAGAACAAGTTCCAGATACTTTTAGATGTTTTGGAGCACTGTTGCTCCTTTGGGAGAAAAACCACTTGACTCACCCACCAATGGTTTTATTTATACTGTTTTGTATTTCTTACTCACTGAACTTGTTTTGTTTGTTTGTTTGCTTATTTGTTTTTGTATATATTGTGGTTTAACAATCCTCAGCAGGCCAGACTTAATCTGAAATGCACTTCCATCAAAAATATATCAGCTTTTAGGAATATGAACATAAATAAGCTTCAGTTAGCCCATTTTAGCTAAATAAAAATAATACTTTTTTTCTAAGCTTTTAAAGTGATATGCAAAAGAAGTCTACTTTTTTCTTATGTCATCATTTTTTTCTTAAATGTTACAATCCAAGAAAGAGCTTGGAGAATTCACATCAATTTGATAAAGAATTTTAGTCCTAAGAACTTACAAGTTTGCTGAAGACTCAAAGCAGGTGTGTTTTATTTATTAATATTTGTATAACCTGGAGCTCTCAGTACCATTTTAGTTGTTGCACAAAGCAAATATTTAAATTAAAGTAGTGAGCACACCGCTTATGGTATTTTATCCCATGTCTGCATTTGAAATATTCCTCAAACAATTCATAACTTTTTTCTGGACAATTCAGCTATGCCTAAATGTGGAAGAAGATTATTCATAATTTGGTTATGAAACAATGAGAACAGAATCATAAAAGGCAGTATTAACTTTGAGAATGTGAAATGCCATTCTATTTCTGATATGTAGACCATTCCTTTACCAATAAGAAAGGACAAAGGAATGCATTGGTTAGTACCTGATACTCAAGTAAACAAAAAGTGTTAGTTTCTGGCCCCCGGCCCCTAGAAATAGACATCAGGTCTTTATTTGCCTCTCTGTCTGGGAGAGTGCCTGTTCAAATCGTGGTGTTTCATTCATTGCCTTACGGCAGGTTTTCCAAAAGCAATGCTTAGCTCATTTGACTTTTCTTCTTAGCTGGTGGTAGATTCTGTCAAGTGGAGAGCTGTGGGCATGATAGCTTTTCACTTCACTGAGAGGTAAGAGTGCACTGGCTGTCATTTAATGAATCACTACTAGGGACCAGGCTGTACATGTGTATAATTTTTCATCTCACAACACTTCGTGGCCATTTTTTAAATGAGAAAACTGAAGCTGAGGAAGAGTGAAAATGTGTTCAAAGTTATTCAATGAAAAGGCCAAGCTGGGATTCATGCCTAGATCAAAGCAATGTGTACCTTATTTTTACAAACATACCACAGCTTATCTGTGAAAATGAGTGTTGTACTCTTCACATCCTGAGTGGCTATGCAAGTTGATACCCCTAATCCTGCCATCACTTGTTGAAAATGAGCACTCCTTTGAAATGCTTTCTGATCTTGTGGCATATATTTTTTTTAAATATTTATTTATTTTTAGAGAGGGAAGGGAGAGAGAAAGAGAGAGAGAAACATCAATGTGCGGTTCCTGGGGGTTATGGCCTGCAACCCAGGCATGTACCCCGACAGGGAATCAAACCTGTGACACTTTGGTTCACAGCCTGCGCTCAATCCACAGCATATACTTTTGAATGACCCCTATAGAGGGACATTATCGTCTGATAGGTGGGTTTGATTTTTGCAAACAGCCAATGCATTTAGAGCCACATTTAGGAAAAAACAACAACACACTCTCCAGTGATAACCCCATTTTTGGAAGGAAGTTGATTAAATTACTTGTGAATGCTTTATGATAACACAACACTATGAAGCTATTTTCTAAAGAGGGAATCCTTATAATGCCACCAGCTTCATCATTAGGTGGCATCTTTGAAGATAATCACTTGGAGGGAACTGTCTTCTTTTGCATGCTTAGTAAGTCTGAGCAATTAGAAATAGGGATGCACAATACAGAGGGAAAATTGGGGCTAGAAATACAGATTTGCCACACATGTGCATATAGGGGTCAGGGCATACCATAGTAGTATAGGAAATTGCCCATGGTAAGCATTTAGCAGAGGGAAGAGGATGGACTTGGATAGAACTCTGGAACGAGCCAACTGTGGTGGCGGGGGGGCAGAGACCCCAATGCCAAGGAGATACCTGGGGAGATGACGATATGAGAGAAGTGAGAAAACAGAGGTCAGCTCAAAGCTCTGGACACTAGAGAGGGAGAAACATTGGGAGCAAGATGGGGTGGTGAACAGCAGGGACTCCCGACCTGTGTGTTGAAGACCTGGGTCAGGGCACAGGAGGGAGAGGAGCAGGAGTGCAGCAAGGAGCCTACGAATCTGAAAGTGCACTCAGCGTGTGATGCAGCTCAAAATTCAGACACATCTCCCACAACACATACCACAGTTTTTCAGATGTACCAACGTGCTTTGAGTTCACCATTGTGTGCCCTCGATTTGGCTCCAAATCCTTTGGCCGCCTCTTAAGATCACATTTATGCTACAGACGCTAACTTGTGGGGAGGATAGTGAAGTTTCCAAGCACTACGTGCAGTTCATAATACCCATCACAATTAATCCCACGTTGTGAATTTATATACTTATCTCTCCAAATTGACAGGGAGACTCTTTAAGAGCAGGAATGATATTCCCCAGAAGGTAGGATTCTAGAGCATTTGAGAGTCTCTCAAAGGTTTTTTGATGTTACTAAAATATGGAGAAGATAGGAGTTTGTGCTCAGGAACTTTAAACATCCAGTGACTGAGATTCTCAGGATTCACCTGGCAGCCTGACTTGTATGGGAACTGTATGAGTGTTTCCCCTTGCAAACGTTTACCTTTTTTTTTTCATTCAAAAAGACAGGATCTGGCACAAATAATACCCATTTTTTATGACAAACTCTTATTACAAAATTATAAGCATGTAACTGTGTAACATAACAATATCACACTCAAGCACACCATACAACATTTTAGGTGAAATGTTCAAATTTCTGCCCACCTTGTGTGAGACATTCACATACCCTACCAACCACACTCAGTGGCGTTCCTTCTGCTGGACCGCAGATATGAATGCCTAGCACACACCAAGCACTCTGCTAGAAATGATGTCTTTCTGAGCGTTTTGCTCGTGTATGCGACACTTGTATGGGTTCTTCAGTGATGCCCCAGACTTCACTGCTGAGGGACACTTCCAAAAACAAACTACCATTCACCGTAAACTTTCAAAATGTTGTACTTAAAAAAATAATGGCTTTATTAAGGTATGGTTCATATACCATTTAATTCGCCCTTTCAAAAGGCTACAGTTCATTAGTTTTCAGTCTTTTTACAGGGTTGTGAACCTATTGCCACAATTTAATTTAAGGTCATTTTCATCACCCTGAAAAGAAACCCCATACCTTTCAGCAGGCACTCCCATGCCCGCCTCGCCCCAGCCTCTGGTGGTCACTAAGCTGCTTCCTGTCTCTGTGGATTTGTCTGTTCTAGACATTTCGTGTAAATGGAGTTATACAATATGTGGTCATTTGTGACTGGCTTCTTTAATTTGGCATGTTTTCAAGGTGTATTCATGTTATAGTGTGTGTCAGTATTTCATTCCTTTCTATGGCTAAATGATATTCCATTGTATGAATATGTACCACATTTTGCTTATCCTATTCATCAATTGATAGTCATTTGGGTTGTTTCCACTTCCTGGCTACAGAGAGCAATGTTGCTATGAACATTCATGTACAAGTTACTGTGTGCACACGTCTTCATTTCGCTCGGGCATATATGGAGGAGTGCGGTGGCCGGGTCACGTGATAACTCTATGTTAAAGTTTCTGAGGAACTGACAAGTCATTTTCCAAAACAGTACATTTCCACCAGCAATCATGAGGCTTTGAAGGCTTAAATTTTAACATACTATATACTCCAACAAAATCAAGCCAATTTTTAATATTTTTACTTTTTAATTTTTTAATACTCTCATGTTTAAATGTTTAGTATTTTAAATTTTTTTCACTTTCATTATCCTGATAACCATTTTCCACTTTCTAAAGCAAAGAAACACACTGTCTTCTCTTCACTGTGACATTAAGTGAAACGATTCTCCAATAGTTTCCTCTTTTATTTCTTCTAGCCAAAAAAACACAACGGAAGCAATTAAATACTTGAAAGAGGTTGTGAACATCGCAAGGAACAATTTTCGGAGCCTCGATGTTGTGAAAGCCAGCACAATGCTTGGGGACATCTACAACGAAAAGGTGAGTGTATGTGCTTCTTGCTTAGGGGGAAATCATAGCTTTAATATGCTCCTCCCACGTGATCCTCCCTTCCCCCTAGTCTGTTAGCAGAGCGGCTCTGGGTTGCTGGACTTAGCTGGCCCCCGGGGAAGTGACTGGGAAGAGACACGCCTCTTTCTTCCTCTTCCTCCGGGACCTGAGCGCCCTCTTGGGCTCAGTCAGCGCGAGCTGCTGACACCGATTCACATCTTCACAGCCGATGCAGGGCTTCGGTAATTTCCTATTTGAAGAGCAATTAAAATATTTAAATTTAAAGGAGCTGCATTGTAACAATTGGCTCATACCTGCTGACACTGACATGCGTCTCTCTTGCACCAAATTCTCGTTTTACTACCCAGCTGAGAAGCCCTTGCTGGGTCCCTTGCTGAATACTTTCGGCAAGGAGAAGAAAGGACAGTCCCAAGAGCAATTCCGAAGGAAATACGTAATTCTAGCAGCAGATTGGCTATGTGACAGAAGTGAGAAAGAAGAGAAAAACGTCTCAAATAAAAGTCTCTCAATGCATTGGCCATGACAGACTTTTGATTTATTTTCTCCCTGCCTTGATCTTTATTACCCAGATTCTCCTTTATGAACGGTATAAAAGAGGTCTGTTTCTCCTGTTAAAATTGCTGTCCGGGTCACAAGTAGGATCTGTCCTTTTTGAGGGTGGTTATATTCTCAAATTGTGTTTACACTCATTGTCTTAATCTTTTTTTTGAGAGGCTATTTATGTAGTGATTAAAAGCGCCAACTCTGAGACCAGTCTGTTTGGTTAAAAGCCCAGCTCTTTCATTTACAAAATCTGTGGCCTGGGACAAGCTAACACCTTCTAGGCACCTCAGCTTTCCCACCCCATGAAGTGGTTGTGAGCGTTGAGTGAATATATAAAATGCACTTAGAATAGAGTCTGGCAGCAGGAGTAAATGCTACCTGTGTAAGTGGTGCTTTATTCTTATTCTCTCCGCCTTCACCTGGTATCATGCAATTCCCCTTTTCCAGAGGCTCAGAGGGCTGAAGTAACCTACCCCAGGTCCCCAAGCCTCTAGGTGGCTGTGGTATTCAAACCCATACTCTTAACCACTACAGTCTTTTCTGTGCCATGTCATTGATTTTGATGACTTCAGAATTATTTGCCCTTTTTTTTAAAGGAAATAGAGTTTGAAATTAATTTGATTGAATGAAACCACTATCTTTATAGTTGTAACTTAAAATGTTGCGAAGAACTTGGAAAAGAGCTAGTTTAAATGATCACTTGAGTTGTGTTGCTTCTGTCAAGATCCTATTTTTACAATCCATCCTCAGTCAAGGATGGCATGCACGCACGGGAAAACAGGACTAAAAACTGCATCAGCAGGCATACACATCTATTTTCACTGATGCTTGATTAAACAGGTGCGCTGGAAATGACCTCTCACTGTGGCTGACTACTAACACTGGTTAAAAAATATTTCATTGGGTAAATTCAATGCTACAGATAAGAACATTCTATCCAAATCAGTGTGAATCTTTTCCCAAACTACTTCTTGCTATCAAATATTAGGTCAAACCATATGAAAAACTGCTAGTATTTGAACATTTTTTTTATCCAAAAAAACTTAAGTTTCCTACAGTTCAACCTGGTAGAAACAGCTTTCTTGGTGAATGAACTTCAGGAATGCACGGTGAAGTCATCACAGTGTTTAAAAAGAACCTTATTGTAGTAGAGACTGTTCACCATCACTTCCTTCCTGAAGAGGAACTGCTACACCTGTTGAAAGAACAGTGCAGTACTTGCTGAGGCGGGAAGATATGTGGAATGGTAAATAAGTTAAGAAAAAAAATCACCTCTCTTATATTTGTAGGGATACTACAGTAAAGCCTCTGAGTACTTTCAGCAAGCTTTTGACACAGCAGCAGAGCTCGCCAGCACCCCTCTCATGGATGAGACGAAGGTGCATTACGGAATAGCCAAAGCTCATCAGATGATGCTGACAGTGAACAGCTACGTAGCGTCTGCAGACCTCCCCGGCCTTGACCACCTGCTGTCGTGGAAGGAGGGCAGAAGCGACATCACTCCTGATCCTGTTGTGGGTAAGGTGTTGTTTTTAAAAAAAACACTTCAGTTTTTGTATTATTCTTACTGGCTAAGTCGTTTTCATTGTAAAGGTTTATTCAAACATTGGTGTTTTAATTGTACGGGTAATTTTAATTTTATTTATTCATTACTACATGAAGATGAAATGTACTTTTGTGCTATATCTTACCTTCAATTTTTTAAAAGATTTTATTTATTTATTTTTAGAGAGGGAAGGGAGGGAGAAAGAGAGAGAGAGAGAGAGACATCAATGTGCGGTTGCCGGGGCCTCCCAGCAACCCAGGCATGTACCCTGACTGGGAATCGAACCTGAGATGCTTTGGTTCACAGCCCGCGCTCAACCCACTGAGCTACACCAGCCAGGGCTTTATCTTCAATTTTTAAGGAAAGCATAGAATTGTGGTGGTGATGCCTTCAACTTGATAAGTCACCATTCTCATGCTGTTTTGTATTTCAGTTATCTTCGGTATTCAACAGTAGGTACTGATCAACTGTAAGGAATATGATATGTTTGTTTAAAAAAAATGTTCAGTATTGTACCTTTCTGACCAGAGCAAGTGTTTATAGATGCAAACTGGCGTTATCCTCTTACTTTTCTGATAGTAGCAGATTTTCCTGTTTTTATCAGTTCAAATTTGAATATTAACTTAGATAATATTTGATAGTGATTTTGTTCAATGCTACTGTTTTCCTATATACATTTTTTTCATGGTAATTAGTCAAAATCCTCAATTAACTAGGTAGGTGAGGGTCAGTTTTGTGTTTCAACTTGTTAAGACTTTCAGATTAGGAATTTTTAAAAATTTTAAACAGTATGGCCTGTGACAGACTTTGGGTTACAGAATTATTTGTTTGCAAATCAAACCTTTAAAAGTAAAATATTTTGGAATAACTCAAATGAACTCATTGGGCAAAATTTCATAATGTGAAGAAGCTACTCCTAACTGAAATTTTTTTTTGCCTTAGATAAAACAATCCCTTTTGGTATTTATTTCCTCTGTAGAATAAATGGTAAATAACAGTAAATTAAACACAAAGGAAGTTTATTGACCCTTTTACATGAGCAGAATACCACTCACCACTGTCTGTCCTCTAGTTATGAAATGAAGAAAGGTCTCATTCAAAATATATGTACAATGAGAAAAACAAGATGACGTCTTTAAAAACACATGGCTTGCTGAATTTCAGTGTGCTCAAGTGGCCCCCAAATATTTATGGTTAACTATTAACTAATCATTGTTGGATAATATTTTGCTTACTTCAGAATGTTCCTTTGTCCTATATTTGGGAGTTTGTTCTGTAGTTTTGAGTTATCTTTCCTTTAGCTTCTCACTCTTTCTGCCCAGGAGATAAAGTAGAGGAAATATGGACCACACTCGAATGCTTGCTTTGGTAATAGGCTTGGTAGAGAGTAAGTTGAGTTGCTCACGTTTTCAGATTTGTCCTGGACGAACTTTAGCCATCACATGATAGTCATGAAAAGACACACAAACCTGGCTTCCAATCATGGCCACGTGTCTATTTACAATCTTGAGTTTTATAATCTTCTTTATTTTTCTTTACTCTATAAAACTATTTTTCTATTCTTTTTACATTTTATCTCTATATTTTTATAAGGATGCATTGTGTTCTAAAGGACTTAGGAATAGAACAAAAAATGCATTTCAAAATACTATTCTGACAATAAAAACTTAGTTATTCACATGGTGGAGAAGATCAAATTCTCCAGAATGCTAGGAAAGCACACCCTGCTGCGGATTCATTTGATCGAGGTTAGAAATCACACATGGATGACCTGCCTCATTATGAAAGTGAGAAATAATAATCTTTCAGGTTCAAAAGTAGTAAGTTAATTCTCATACTGTTTTTGTGGTCACTGTTCTATATGGAAAAAAAACCTGTAGGACATTATCAAACACACTTGCTTGTTTACATAAACATATTTGTAGCTCAAAATACACTTAAGTCTACTCTAAAATGTTCCCAAAATATTTCTTACTCCACTACTTTTATTATCCTATCTTTGCTTTGCTTAAAAACCCTCATTGGCTCCCTACTGCCACAAATTAAGTACAAGCTTCTCAACCTCTTCGGCCACCTCCTCCCCCTGCTACCCCCCTCCCCCCACACCTTATTTCCAGCTCCAGCACTGCCCAGAGAAATCTCACAGACTCTGCAACATCCTCAGATGCTGAACTCTTCCCTGATTCCCCTCTCACTTGAATGTTCTCTCGTCTCTCTGTTGCACACTGAATGCTATTCATTTCTCTCCAAACACTTTTGTAGGTCAGATTTTGCATCCTTTCACGGCCATTTCTTTTATTGCCTTATCTTCCCATGGAGAGTATGAGTCTCTTGAAAACAGCTTCTGATTCTTGGTATTCCTTCTAAAAAAGGCACAATGTCTAACACCCACTTGCTAACAAGTAAATATTTGTCAAATTCAATAGAATTCAAGATGAGTATATATGTCCTAGCCATAAACTAGTTTGCACTAGCCACTTTTTAAAACAAGATTCATAGTCCCCCACCTCCTTGGAAAATAGGACAAAAAAAAACCCCTATGATCTGATACTGCATTTTGATTACCATGCAATTATCACATGAATGCACGGCAGCACCAAGTATGATGCTGGCAAAATAAATACAGAAATATTATTTGGAGGTCTGAGCAGCTTTTAGGTTTTCAAACTTTGCCTTTCTTGTCAGAAAAGGCATCTTTAATCTTGCTACAGAGGGGTCCCATGTATTTAGAAAAAAACAGATCAAAGATTTGAAAGGTACATCATAAAAGCTGTGCAGTTACCTTCACCTCCGAGACATACATCCTCCAAACAAATCATTAGCTCGCGGAGCAGGCAATATTCTTTTAAACAGAGAAACATGGCCCCCAAAGGGAACAGAGCAGCGAGGGCTCTCAGGTCTCTGGATGCAGAGCAGAGACCTGATGGAGCAGCCCTTCCCCAGCCCTCATCTCCCCTCTTTGTACCCTTCGGAGGGATCAGAGCAAGTATAGGAGCCTTCCCTCCATTCTCACACTCTTACACATGGCTGGGATGATTTCCTATTCCCCCTTTCCTTTCCAGTAGCAAAGGAAGAATAGACTCTCCTCCCAAATCTAAGAATTTAGAAGGCATTCAAATCTACTGCTGTTCAATACAATTGTTAAAGCCTGAAGCAACAGAAATTAGTTAGCTCTGGAAGGCTTCAGGGCCTATGAATTTCTGCTGATTTCTCTAGAATGTAGTTTATTTCCCTTACTAGAACTATTATTTCTACAATCATGAAGTTTTTTTTTTTAATGAAAAGCTACTTGATCTTGCCTCATGGAGATCACAGGCCCAGAAGTGGGACAGATAACCGTACCGTTAACCTAGAAATGTAATTACAGCCGCTTAAATGCCAAGATTGTTAACCACTTCACTGATAACATCAGTGACATGGTTTTAATGAACATTCTTATTGTAGCCAAATATAAATTATATGAGAGAAACCAGGTGCAAATTCTGAGTATAGAAATAGATGAATATGCTTCCTAGCCACTATAGACAATTACAGTTTTTTAGAAAATGGCATGTAAAAGTTTCCTTGAGTGCCAAAAATATCACCCTGGTTTAATGAATCATTAAATTTTCTTAAAGGAAAACAATCAAGGTCATGAATCTGTCTCTTGGTCCTTGGTTTGTGTTGCCTTCATGTTGGTGCCCTTGGTTCAATGCCAAGCTCTGTTTTCCCGCCCTGTTCTTTGCTTGTATTTCTCATTCATGAACTCAATCTTTTCAATGGAGGTGAAAAAGAAACATTCAAGAGTGAGCCTCATGTTCCATTATACTTTGATCAGCTACTTCTGTTTGTCAAATAACTCTGAAAATGAGGAGAACATTATGTCCTTGGTCAAAAGTCAGCAAGCAGGTTTTGTATTATCCGGTCATCACAGAGGAAAACTGTCTAATGATGTGTTCAAACAGATGACATGTAAAAAGACGATTCTGGTGAAAAACATGACTTAAAGCTCACCTAAGCAGCTTGGTGTCATTGAGAGGCTAGCAAGTGTTTTATTGCTTGGGTTCCAGTATCATACTGAACACTAATTAGTTTTGTGACTCTTGGCAAAAGATTTCACTTTATATCTTCAGGTTGTTATCTGAGGTTTCAAATAGCTCATGGATAAGATTCCTCTAGAACTGACCACAATTCCTTAGTAAGAGCATCTTCTAAATAAACATGGCATTCTGTAGCCCTTAGGGTGCAACCTAGGAAAATCATGAGCAATTTATTTGTTGTTTCCCCCCCCATAAACACCAGTTTCTGTGGGTTTCCACAAAAGTTAACTTGTTATTATTATTACTATTATAATATGTTTAACAGCCACATAAATGCCAGTGCAAATATTTGATCCTTCTGCTGGAGTTTATTTAGAGAAGTTTCTAGCTATCTGCGATTTTACTTTTCCCTGGTTGGCACTCTCGAGGTTGCTAAACCTAATAAACTATTTAATCTGCAGATTTTCAATTCCTCCTCCTGTTCAGCCAACCCTATGTCACATTTCCCTCAGTGGTTCCTCAAATCCTGCCCTTTCCCCACTGTTCCTGGGGCCCCCTGTTCCAGAACATGCCTCACTCACTCGTCTTCCTGATGTCTTCTTCATGCACTGCAGTTCGTGGCTGTCTCTGCCCGTCCAAAATCTGGTACCACTCCCACAGCCCCTTTCCTCTGAAAATGAGTTAACACCTTCTTGAAATGTTTTGAGTTTGCTATTATCATGAAGTGATAGAGTTATGTAGAGCCAAAGAAATTGTTTTGTACACACTTTTTATTTTCTAATGTCCTCAGACCCAGGGTAATGCAAGCATGGGATCACTCGAAAGACAAAACGGACCTATAGTTCAGTTCTCTGGAATTCTCGTCCCAGATTCTTTCCATGTGTTGCACTTGCTTATCTATTATTCTCTAGTTAGTAAAAGCATGTCTAACATTGAACATTATTACATTTTAA